CATGGCGTCGTTGTGGTCTGGTTGTGGCTGTGGTGTGGTTGTGGTACGTGTGAATTGACCCTAAATAAAGCAGTGTGGTCACAGCAATGGCGCGCGGGAATTCAATTTGTACGCACTACATACAAATGGAAGTGGTTTTTTGGCGGGTTTAATTCATCCCGCGCGTGCTAGTTTGCCGTCACATCGCGCCGGGAATAAAAATACATGCCGGGACATGTCGCGGACCTCCGTTGAATGGAAACAGCGGGATCACGCTGAAAAACTGTTATTACTTAACGGCTATCGGTGCGGTGCAGTCGCGGTGTTTGTTGTTGTTAACTGGTATTGTAGAGTGAATATTTTGTTATTAGGTACTAAATTCACTGCCATATTTGAATTTTTTTGTTAAAGTTTTTAAAGTTATACTTCTTTAGGCGCGTTATGAAAAAATGATGAGAGTGAAATTTTAAGATGCGCGCGCATCACTGTAACACAAAATTTTAACAGCACGAAGTTGGTTGCTTTAGCGACCTTCATGCTGTTACTTTTGTGTTTACCGCACATTAAGAAAATCTACCAACAAAATAGAAATAGAATCTCTATTTAGTGGGTGCTAACGACTGCATTGTGAAGGCCTATCAAAAGTATTTATTAATCTGGAACAACGGAACCAAAGCGCGATTCAGGAGACTACAGCGCCATCTCTTGACCATTGGTGTAGTAGAACCAAAAACCACATCTTTATTTTTTGTAATAAAGTAACAGTTATAGGTATTCATATTTATAATATTTATCCACATGTTTCTAGTTTGTATATTCGGAATACGTGTTTGAGTTTCATACAAGTGCAAATCACATATGTTCTAATAAATTATATTCAGCGATTTTAATTGAATATTTTGATTATTTATTTATTTTTTCAAATTAAAACTGAACTTTATTGACTGTAACCTTTTCCAGACTTTTTATTAATTTATTGTTATTAATTATTTGCATGCAATTAAAAACTAATTTTAAACGATGCCAAAGAAGGATAACTTCTCACGCGCCTACATGAGTACACGCACCCATTTTTTTTTTATAAGTCTGGGAGAAGAATAAACTGGGAGTAAAACAAAAACATGGAGCCAGGGCCAGCTACAATTTTACGGAAACGAATTATGTATAGTGTAATATAACGTAATTGTGCGAGAATAATCTTTCTACGCTCATTCTCCACATGGAATTTAATGAACAAAAAAGCTACTGATATACTGCTTCGTGCCCGAATTGTGTTACAAAAGAGGTACCCCTTTTTTCTCCTTCGCGTCCTAAAAAACGGTTTTACAATACTATATAGGTATATTAGACCTTAACTCTAAAATCTAAAAATGGTAAAGTAGATTAGACTGCTTTTCCTAGTTCAGGCAATCCTGTCTTTCAGAAAAATAAAACCTTATAAATACCTAAGCTATAGAAGACATATTTAGCGATCGGGTACCGACGCTTATTTTCATAATCACAGAAAAGAAATTGCCAATCATTTGATCCTGTCGGTCATTGGTACCACTAGGTACCTAATTTCAGTTTTGATTTCTTAATATAAAAATTGTGCGGGTTCGAGTCCCGTCTGCTGCCTGGTCCGCGTGGAATTTTTTCTAGTTATATTTTCTTCAGATTTAACTATAATTGCTATTTCTTCTTTCAAATGTTTAATACTTGTAAAAGTATTCATTTGACATTGTGGGTTACCTATAATGCGAAGAGATGGCGCTGCCTTGCAGCTTAAGAATGGCTAGAGGAATTGCGACGCGGTCCGTGAGGGCCACGGTAGCATAATTGGTCAGTGCATTCGCCCGGATTGCGAAGGGTGCGGGTTCGAGTCCCGGCTGCTGCCTGGTCCGCGTGGAATTTTTTCTAATTATATTTTCTTTAGATTTAAACATCAAGCAGTTACATGCTTTAAAATATAAATATTATAACTATAAAAATTGTATTTTTTCCCATACAATAATTTCATCTACCTCCCAAGATCACTAAGAGCAAAGCATTTAAGCATACCATCGGGTACCTACGCACCAGATTACGTTGTGTTGTACACAAACTCCCCGGCGGGGGATGTTTAGACGAGATTTAATTAAAAAGTTCCCGGGTCGAGGCCTAAAGTGTTAATCCCCTGTGTCCTTAGGGCTTCCCTGTTTCGTAGACGACAGGGCGGGCGCTGCAAGAATCAAGACTGAACCAAACTCGGCCTTAACTTGTCCTAGTTCGATAGCTTAGTGACTTCTATATATGGATTTCTCAATAAAAATCGGATATTCAGATTGTAGAATATTATTCTTAGCAAAATAGAAATCTTATTAAAAATTATGTGCGTACGTTGTCTTTTTTGAATTCGAATTGCAAGAGGGAGAGTGAATCTACATAAATAAAAATGAGTGAATGTAGTAACGAATGGGTACGAAATGAATGTATGAATGGACGATGATGATGGACCGATTGTAGCTTCTCCCTTCGAAGGATAGATGGCGTTAACAGTCCTTAACTATATTTTTATTTATTTTTAAGCATTTAACTGCTAGATGTCTAAATCTAAAGAAAAGTTTACTAGAAAAAAAATCCACGCGGACCAGGCAGCGGACGGGACCGCCTTAACTTTCAATCTCATAAATTTTTTGACCTTAACTTTCAATCTCATAAATAAATTAATAAGTATTTCCGACACCCACAACAATTAGCCTAGCCCCAAAGTAAGCACTGTAAGGCTTGTGTTATGGGATGCTAGGTTAACGGATACAATACATCTGATATCATATATAAGTATATTTTTATCTAGAAATATATATATAGGTACAAATGCTCGAATTAATCATACTAACATTTGCTTCCGCCGGGATTAGAACCCGGGAATTCTGGGGAATTGGAATGGGGAAAGGGAATTAATATACGTTGTATTGTGCCTACTTAATATTTTTTTGACATATTATTGTATATGTAATTTATATAATTTTGTTTGTTTTTAAATACAAATTATTATGAAATTATTAATTAAGGCTATGTGAATCAATTCAAATAATAAAATGAAGTTGTTGACTCACATGAAATTAACGTATATTGTACCTACTGAACATGAGATGTGACGTTGTGATTTTCTTTTGACATTTTATTTTATCAATGTATTAGATTTTTTATTTTGCAAATAAATATTTTACATAGACTAAGAGATAGGTATGCTCTTAGTACAAAAAAAAGTCATAACATAAATTTAAATCTGTATTTAAATTAATTTTTGCATGCTGGAAACGGCTAATTGTGCGATCTGACCTAATCAGTTAAAACATCATTGTAACCACAATTAATGCAAATAAATTTCATTTCATTTCATTTCACTTCACTTCACTTCACTTTACTTCACTTCACTTCACTTCACATCACTTCACTTCACTTCACTTCACTTCACTTCACCTCACTTCACCTCACTTCACCTCACTTCACCTCACTTCACCTCACTTCACCTCACTTCACCTCACTTCACCTCACTTCACCTCACTTCACCTCACTTCACCTCACTTCACCTCACTTCACTTCACTTCACTTCACTTCACTTCACTTCACTTCACTTCACTTCACTTCACTTCATTTCATTTCATTTCATTTGATTTCATTTCTGAGTAGGCGTCTCGTGTATACCACTCGGCCACGGAGGTCGTCAAATAGATAGATCGTGAAGTATTCCAGTGCTTATTCTTATATTTCTATTGCTGGAGCCACACTATGACGATAACTCAAAGATTTGCCGTTTTCTCAACGCGTCTTAACCAAGCAGTTCTGAAATATAAATCGCTTGGCCCGTCTTGGCTGAAAACGGGAAATGTTTACGATAACGCGACAGAGTGGCTGTAGCATACGAGATCTTCGCGGTAATACAATATAAAACCAATATGATAATCTGAGTATGAAACAAACCCTTTTCCTAGATTTTTAGATATCCTTTTTTTATCATTGCTCGACATGATGCGGTTACGCCATGTCGGGCCATAAATGGTTTAAAATGAAGTGAAAACGTAATTTAAATTATAAATCGGTATACATTTTGGAGTATGCTTAGTACTGCCCTGACTGTACTTTTTGCTTATTAGCAGACACTGCGTCCTGTGGGAAATTGTTATGAGGGTTTTTGCCTGTATGCCAATGATAACCAACGCAAACAGCTTCAATATTGCCACTTTGTTGACGTTCCTAGTGACGGCCACTGTCGATGTTACTATGTCGATAAACTTGTTAATAATGCGTTTTAAAAATTCAAATAGGTAATAAATACGTCAATAAATAAATAAAGTTTCGTGCACTAACTCGTTAAAACTAGTTTTATTTAATGAGTGATGCGCGTGAAAACCTAAGAAACAAATTCATATAAGTAGTTAATTACAAATTGTAATATTTGTTTCTTAGGTTTTTAAATAAAACTAGTTTAAACGGGATAATGCACGAAACTTTATTTATTTATTGACGTTTCAACGTGACAAATTGTAATTTGAATTAAAAATATAATTAGATTTTTATTTATTATTATTATTCTTATTTATTTATTATTATTCTTATTTATTTATTATTATGTAAAAAATATTATGTATAAATGTTTCAGTTTTTTTTTCTATTTACATTTACTGTAATTTAAATGTAAACATCATTTTCGTTCAAAATATTTGTTGAAACGACATTCATCCGTACATGAATTCACGTTAACTTTCCAGATCGGTAGGTTTTTTTTTGAACTGCTCGCCACAGCATTTATTTATTTATTCATGACAGGAAACATTAACTAGTTAAGATCAAAATCTATCTTTATCTAATATGAATAAACAATGCCTGCACTTTTTAATTTTATTATTAAAAACATAATATTTATAGTGAATAATAGTGACAGGTTAAAAAAGCGTTTATTACGGTACAGTTTTTTTTTCTTATGAACAAAAGTAAACAATTTAACAGCGTATAATATCGATAGTTTTTTCAAAGTACAACCAACTCTACGGTTAGATATGGCCAGTGAGGTAGGTCCGTAATACAGGCGCTGTGTGCTCAGCGCTCGACCCAGTACCTCCCTGCTCTTGTTTCATCTTTCAACATAGTTGTAAATAACACCATTATTAACGTGTTTTAGAAAGATTTATTAGAAATAAAAACATTGTTCCCTTATTAATTACTAGATTCCGCCCGCGACTTTCTCTCCTTAATCCTTGAGGAACCTGACTTTTTCCGCCATAGAAATGATCTTTTGTCACTATTCAGAAAATCTATCTGTGTGCCTTATCTAACTCGGTTCAGCCATTCTTGCATGATTGAGTAACAAACACACACTAACAAATTTTCACTAACTTTCGCCACGGTGTCAGGCTAAAATCGAACTGACACCTTCATCTATTTAATTGTAAGTATGTACATATATCTACATTTTCATTATTGATTGCCTCACATGTATAATATTTAGTTTGAAGAAATTGAAATAAATTTTAAAGAACAGTAATAAGATTAATGGCAAATTTCGCTTAATGCACTGACCATTATACCTGTTAGAATAATGGACAGTGCATTCGCCCGGACAGCAAAAGTGCGGGTTCGAGCCCCGTTTGCTGCCTGATCTGCGTGGATATTTCTGTAGTAATATTTTCTTTACATATAAACATTGAGCAGATACATGCATAAAAAATAAATATTATAACTATAATTGCTATTTCTGCTTTCAAATGTTTAATACTTGTAAAGGTATTCATTTGATATTGTGGGTTACCTAGAATGCGATGAGATGGCGCTGCCTTGCAGATTAAGAAAGGCAAGAAGGATGTCGACACGGCCATCAAGGTCCACGGTAGCACAATGGTCAGTGCATTCGCCAGGACAGCAAAGCGTCTGGTTTAATTGAAAATGAAATATATTTTATTGGAACAAAAATAGTGAATACAATAAATGTGTACGATAATAATTGCATTAGTTATAAAAACTGTGTCGCAACTATTATCTCCCACCTCTGAGAGTACATTGGAGTTCCTTACATATAACAAACTAACAATAAATATTATGAATGATTTAAATTTAATTTAACGTACTTAAATTAACAAATCATTTAAATGCATTTTATGCGTGTGCGCATGGGTATGTGTGTATGTGTGTGTGTGTGTTAATGGAATAAGCTGAGGTTATCCTCCGTTACTATCTACTCAGAAAGTCTTCTATCTGCTCATAAGTAAGTAATGACTTTAATTTAGTTATTTTAGTTAAGATACATAGAGTGATATTAATTGGATTTTCTAATGTCAGATATATAAAATAGAGTGTTCTGCTCAAATATTTGTGGTAACTACTGGTAACTTAGGAAACCTTCCACTGCTCAGGGCACGACACGCACACACGACAAAGTTTGACGGTGACGATACGTTAAGGAGCTCTCAAAAATTAGTGCTTGAGCCTCTGTAGTCGCTTAAGTAGCTAATGGAGGCCATACACGTTAGGTTTTGCATGATGGTTTTAACCGTGCATGCATAACCGACATGCATAACCGAGTTACATGCACTAAAAACTGTACAGTTTTATCACATACACGCTAGGGCTTGCATGTCGGTTATGCATGTACGGCTAAAACCATCATGAAAAACCTAATGTGTATGGCCTTCATTAAGTAACTTTATTTATGTGCCTAAAAGTTCGTCCAATTATTAATGAACTTACTTGTATTGACTGTTAAACTAAAGAAGACTCTTCTTACAAGAACACCCAAAGTATTTTATAAATTCTGCTATACTTGGTTTTAGTATCAACTAGCAAACCCCGCGAACTCCGTTTCGCCACCAGATGGCTTCGTTTTATGTAACATTTCGTTTGTTGATTAAAAGAAGTTTTTTTTAATTTTTCCTGAATTTTCTTTGCTATAAACCTCACGGAGCCCGAGACCTTTCCAACGAATGCAAAACCGTGGAAATCGGTTCGTGCGTTCTGGAGTTATAGCGTCAGGAAGGAAAACCCGACTTATTTTTATATAGTAGATAAGTTAACCCGTAGAAAACCGAGTGCAGGGCGTTGCTTCTTCGCCCCACTAGCAAATCTACAAAGCCGGACGTAATAGATACCGCCAGTTTGTCTTCGTTAACTGGACCCGCGGATATGACCGTATCCATAGTACCCGGGCGGAAAAATGCAGGGGATACCCGGTGGCGGACGTTGCCAGAGTTACTGTGGACATTTGTATATGACATGGCTTGACTCTTGCTGCATTCGAAATTGCAATTTGAATAAGAACGGTTCTCTATGAAATGGAGTGTATTTTTATTTCAATTAAGACAAATATCAAAACAAACTATGAAATTTACTAGTTGCCAAGACTATTGTGCAGATAATAAAAAGCGGTCCAAAGACAAAACAGTTTCCTTACAACATCTTAAATCCAAACAATGATTATACAATAAGCATTGCTTATACCGAGTTTGTCTAATTCTGTGATACCCAAAGCAATCCACGTTTGAGTTCTGCTTTCCTAAGTTCGAGTTCTTAAACGCGTTATATCGTTCAAGTTACGCTCAGATATATTTAATGTTGCTTGTAAGCACTTATTTTATTTCTTTGTATACAGTATAAGCTCTGTACACTACCTAGATTTAACTAAACATTTCCCAAAATTAGTTATTGTTTTTATCGCCAAATAATTCTACACTGAATTCCTTAATTTCAACAAGACGCAGAATCATACCCTTAGGAAAATAAGAATTCTCTCAAATCTACATTCGGCAAATGATTCGAGTGCCAACTCCGTAAAAGGAGGATAAAATTGCGAGGTTCTTCCCTTTCCGAAAATCTATCCTTAGGGCCACGTGACGGAGTGTCACGTCGCCGCGTCCTGATCCTGCAGGTTTGTCACGCTGTCCCGAGACGCTAACAAATAGAGACCACTTTAGCGGGCGAAGTGTTTGCGCAATTGAAAGTTCACGGATCATGAAGTTTGGGAACGAAAAGAGAAATGTTCGAATGATGCATGGTTCACGGGTTGAAACAAATGTGGTAACAAAAGAAATATAGGTAACGTCTTGTAATAAACTTGTACACATAAAAAAATGTATTTCTGTTTGCTTACCTTTGTGCCCTTTTTAATTTAATGGAAGTGGTGTTTAAGTACATATACCTCTTATTCTATTCTGATGAAACTTTTCTTAGTCAATAAAACAATTTTTGAATGGGTATCATCATCATCAGCCTTTTTATGTCCCAGCAGTGGGGCACAGGCCTTCCCTATGGATGGAATAGGGAGATTGGGCCATGACCCACCACGCGGGCCCAGTGCGGATTGGCGGGTGCTGACTGCAGATGCAATATAATAATAATAATGAATGAATGGGTATAAATGCGATAATTAACTTTATTACTATCCTTGACGTTTAAGATTCTTTATAGGCTCCTTGGCCTTTTTTTTATTCATTTCTAGAAATGGCTTGACGCCTTCGTGTGTCAGATTGGATTTCAGTTTAAGAAATATGTACTAGAAATAGGTGTCGATTCTAGCATGATTCTCTAAACCTAAACTTAAATTTGACAGCAGTATATCCTTGTCATTCTCTATACAGAATGAAAAGGAGAGACTGATGTTAAATTTAGTTTTAAGTTTAGAGAATCACGCCAGAATTGGCACCATAGATATACTACAAGAATTCGACACAGTGTTTCTTTATCTTTTGATATTACGATTTCTTTTTCAATTTCAGATTGTCACTTGTCTGTGTCACAATGTATTTGAGAATATACTAAATAAACGTTTTCTCCCTCTTGTTCCAGGACCTTCAATCTGAGATCGAGACACACCGCGATGTGTACGCGTCGCTCACGGGCACCGGGCGGCGGCTGCTGGGCTCGCTCTCATCGCAGGAAGATGCGGTCATGTTACAGCGGAGATTAGACGAGATGAACCAGCGATGGCATCACTTGAAAGCGAAGAGTATGGCCATCAGGTGAGGATGCTTTCTATATTATAATTTCAGTCGTCAAAGAGCAGGGTGTACTTAAGGTTTGCTCGACTGCCTCTCCCTCTGGAGAACGCGGTCATATTGCAGCTGAGATTAGACGGGGTAAATCAAAGGTGACATCGCTAAAGGCAAAGAGTATGGCCATCAGGTGAGGACGCTTTCTATATTATAATTTCAGTCGTCAAAGAGCAGGGTGTACTTTAGGGTTGCTCGACTGACTCTCCCATCACTAGAACGCGGTCAAATTGCAGCGGAGATTTGACGAGGTAAATCAACGGTGAAATCGCTCAAAGGGAAAGAGTATGGCCATCAGGTGAGGATGCTTTCAATCATAATAGTACAAGTAGTTATGAGCGGAGCGGGTGGTATTCTTTAGGGCTGCTGGACTCGCTCTCTTCGCAGGGCGAGCGAGTCCAGCGAGCGAGTGAGAGAGAGGGAGGGTGCGGTCATGTTGCAACGGAGATTGGACGAGATAAAGCAATGATGACATCACCTCAAGACAAAGAGTACTTAGTAGTTGTCGCCTAGAGCCCAAAGTCGTCAGGTATCGAAGATTGGCGTAGTGTTGTCTAAAAAGGGGCTTAGGGGTTGATAAAGCTTGCTTTGGTTTGAAATTGTCAATTTATTTTTTTTCGCTAAACCTCAGTGGCATATATGAGATGCGAGTCAGCTACAATAGTTCCCAAACTGTATGGCCTAATTTGGATTAGATGTTATGCGTTTATATTGTCAACTTGTTACCTGTGCACAGTAACTAGAGTAGATTGCGAACTTAATTGTGGCGATGCGATGACGTCTCCGAATTAATTCTCCGGCTATCCGGGCGGCTGGCGAGCGGACGGACGGAGCCGGAGGCGGCGGGGTGAGCCGGAGCTTGATTTATGCCGCCCGGATTATTAAGCCGTGCCGTTTGATTCATCGTTTGTTTTATTTTTCCATCCTCGCAAATCCTTCTCCGGTTCATTAGTTGCGGCGAGTTCGGGAGCTTGCTCCGCGTCGACGGTTCGGTATTTTGCAAAATTGTCACGATTCTGTTGTCTAGCGTGTGAAGTGACGTGTGAGGGACATTCTAGGTGAAAAAATGTGACCATTTCGCATTTTGAATAGAGCAACAATCATTGGCGTGTGAGCGACGCGACGCGGACGTTCTGACACCCAAAAATTTGAATATTTCGAAAAGAGCGAGAATAACGAGCGAGAGACGCAGAAATCGCAGGAATAAGACAAAATAGTATGAATGATGTTAAAAAGAAAAACTTGTATAATTTCTTAAAATGAGGGAACACTGCCTGCTAAGTCATGCCTTCTTTGGCAAAAGTGAATGGGATAATAATAAGGTATAATTAAATTCTTTGACAAACCATTTGGCCAATCGCGTAGTTGTAAAAACTTGGTTGTAATTCCAGGTATGGCGAACTGTTTCCTTCTCTACAATGCACGGTTAAGGAATTTTTTGAAGATAATAATTTAAATTAATGATATTTACAATTTAAATTTTTACTATACCTGACATTTTATTTAATTTAACTTAATTTGTATATAATAAAATTGAACATAATATAACATGATAATTATGCTATAGAATACGACATAGATAATAAATCAAATAATATAATATTGTACTAAAATGATTAAATAATGTTGATATTAATATATTTTTATTTGTTGGGTAAAAAAATATCGTATTTGGCTGGTAAATTGTATACGTACTAATTAAATTACAATTAGTGAATGCGTCCTCTTCTCTATTTGCTGTGCCCTGTTCAGGGTCTACAATGATCAAACCAATGTACCTACTAAGATCTAAGAAAACATTGTAGAACGCAATAAAGTATTGATTGATTGATTGATTGAATGCGTAATCCACATCTCCGGCTCTTTCAGCCAGAACGGTGGCACTGTTATCTCCACTTCAAAACATCGATATATTTTTTATCGTTTCTTTCACTTCACTATTATTCGTTTGCGTAGTAGTCCTGGTTGTAGAATCACATGGATCTTCGAATTTCCCATTCACGGTTCTTATTCGGGCTCACCATTAAGATGAGAGATTCAGTATCACACAATATTAAAGTCTCCTCTGCTGGAGCACAGATGTTCTCTATGTGTGGAATATGGAGATTGGGCCATGACCTACCGCGCGGGCTCAGTGCAGTGCATTGGTGGGTGTTAACGACTGCAGATGCAGAGTAAACTTTTGGTCACCCATCCAATGACCGACCATTGCGAAAGGTGCTTAACTTCAACGATCGCAGCCGCATGCGCTAATCACTTGCGCCATCGAACTCCTCGAAAAGCTCCAATAAATGAGTGATAATTGTTGCCTATATTTTGTCAAGGTTTTTAGTTACCTATCATTAAAGTTCACTTCACAACTGCGCACTATTAAGACCAGGAGCTCTATTTTTGAATCACTCGCTTTGCGTCGAACGCTCGATTTCTAGTAATTTTCATTCGACATTATTAATTCTGTATTTTTGAATCGCTCGACGTCAATGAGCGGTATCGACCACTCGTTGCGCGTTGACGAAAGATGGAGGCGAACGGTAGAATAATTTTCAAAATGTCAGATATATTCAAGATTTTTTCTCAATCTTTTTAAAATACAGATAACATGACGATTTGTTGCGACGTTTTGTCTTTTTTTACAAAAAAGGCAAAAGAATAAATAACCAGTTATTGAGAATTATACGTTTATTTTTCACAGCGGCAATGAATGCTCATTATCTTTTTAAACGTCTTTTTTCCGTGTTAATAAAAATAAAAATGTTGTATTAAACTGGTAACAGTAGATAAACGATTCAAAACTACGGAAAATCAGTATCATGCGACCTTAAAAGTCGAGGGTGACTTATGTCGCATTCGACGATACCATGTCAGGCGAGCGATTCAAAAATAGAGCTCCATGTCAGTCACAATGGATCATCCATCAACATCGTATTGGAAACGCCGCAAAGTTGCGTTGTGTACAGAACACACGATTTTAAGTTGGTGTACACATTAAGCGTTTTCCAACGCGCGCTTTGCTAACGCGCGTTTCGAGAACCAGGAGTTCTATTGAAGTGTACACATGCAAGCGCGCGATTCTGGTCAAGCGTGCGTCAAACGCGCGTTCTCATATTATACGTATGACGCGCGTTGCGCGGGCGTTAGCTGCGCGCTTCGAGATACTTGGGCCGCCATTTTGTTGTACATTTGATCGCGCGCTTTGGTGTAGTGTAGACGTCAGTTCAACGGAAAAATGGATACCGAACATTTTGACACAGATTTCTTTATTGATGAAATCCAAAAGCGACCAGCTATTTGGGACATGAAATGTCCCGATTATAAAAAAAATAAGACGCTAAAAAGACGTAAAATAAAATGATACGCCGTCTTTTATAGCGACGGTAGAGGAGCCACACACAAGTAATCACTTGGGCATCCATTTTCGGACTGCCAGAAACACACCCTACTAAACGCTCGCCGAACGCCCAGCCGAGCGCGGCGTGTGTATGCAATCAACGCGCGCTCAACGCAACGCCGAGCGCCCAATGTGTACCCGCCGTAAAAGTCCAAAACTGAACGCGATAGAACATTTTTATTGCACACAGCTTTCGTACACAAGTGCCTTGTATGTAACGTTTGTACGTGTATGTATGTACGTGTGTGCGTGTGTGCGTTAAAATAAATCCCATTGAAACATAAAACACAGTTCCGTCAGCCGCTTTACAAATTAAACACGCACTCACATTCTCGCTCCGGAATGTCACGAGAGAATGACGGATCGCTATTTGGCGGGCGACATCGACGCGTCGATACCCCTACCATAGGATCGTAGGAGGAATTACAAAAAATAGCATATATTTTAAAAAAATTAAGCATTTCAGTGCTACATATTTAAATCTAAAAAAAAATGCAAGAAAAAATAGAGAGATGTCGCTGGCTGCGATGTAATACAGTAGGAAATAAATTGTGGAAATCCTGCATCATGATATGGATACAACTGAAATCCAAACACAACAACTGAAATACAGTCGGAGATTATGGGTTTAACGTGCTCTATACCACAAGGAACCGTTTTAGGATGTATGCTATTCTTAGTCTACATAAACGACTTACCTACATTTTTGATTAGCGAATATATCAATTTCAATAAAAAGTAATAGTGTTGGTAATATGAGTCAAATAACAAACGAAACCCTGGAATTAGTAACGCTTTGGTTACAAAATTATAATTTAGAAATTAATAACGAAAAAACTACAATTATGGAGATTAGATCATACGGGAAGCCTCCTTTAAATTTAAAAATTAATTATAGAAACGCAGATCTCGAAACTGTAGAATCGTTTAATTGGCTCGGTATGACCATTGACACGCACTTAAATTGGAAGTCCCACGTAGAATCCATTAAATGTAAGCTTGCTAAGTTCACGTTTGATCTTTATTAGTTAAAACAATGTACAAATACAGACACGACGTCTCTGCGTATTATGCATATGCGCGTATTCATGGCTAAGTTGTTTAATAAAAATAAGGTTCTTCGTAAAGATAATTGTTTATTTGTTAAATTCTCTTTTGTTATTTTTATTAATATTGCGATACCTTGACAGGGTTCATGTTAGGTACTTTATGCATTTTGTAACTTGTAACCATCCATATAATCACATGAGTGCAATAAATTGAATTGAATTGAATATGCTGGTTTTCACGGTGTACGGATGCGGTAAAGGCCACTCTTTATAAGACTTCCTGCCAATCATTATATACGTGCAGTCTTTGGACCAACTATACGCAGCGGGCATACAGCGACCTGTGTGTCCAATATAACACATAATATATAATATAATAAACACCCCAAGCCTCTTCAATAACGTGACGTGGCGTGACGTGGCGTCACTAAGCGCTTTCTATCGTCTGTACCACGGCGAGTGTTCTGAGGAGTTATTCTCTGTTATTCCACCTTCCCCTTTCCTTCAGAGGACCAGGCGCGCTGGTCTACGTTGTCACCGTCTAACAGTGGCCACATTTCCAACACGTACAAAGAATTTTGGTGACTCATTTCTTTGTCGCACTATCTCCCTCTTTCAACAACCTGAGAACCTGGGATCCTTTAAAAGAGACGTGAAGAAGCAACATGCAGGCCGGCAGGGTGAGAATGGCTGGTGTGGCAGGTAGAACTGCTGTATCAGCTAACTTCGCGTCTGGACTTCACCTTCATTTAACATTAGGTGGGGTGGAGTCATTTGTCGGACCTATCTATAAAAAAAAAACAACGCATTGAGGATACTGTTGAGATTGTCATGGAGTTGCAGCGCGTCAAAAATGTTTGCGGAGGCGCATACGGACGACTTCTATGCTATTTCTATGCTTCCATGTACACTAGACTCCGCTAGTACCAACAGCCTCCTGAGAGTATTCGATGACCGGTAGGACACTACTCTGCTACGACACTGGGTGAAGCTCCATATTCTGTAATAATAATATTAAGAGATAAATTTAAAGAATTTGGAATAATACATAAACGAAAATTTATTAGTTGAAAGAA